AAGCGCTATGAAATACAGTTGCACAATTCACACTGTGTAAGTGCTAATCCTGGCATGGAACTGTGTGTGTGTGTGTATATATACAATACTACAGTGAAACTGCTGTAATGGTGGGCTACTACTGAAAGATCAGTGCACATCCCCTCTAGTTCCAGCTTACATATTCCTTTCCTTTCTGGTTACAATGGACCAAGTGATTCTTCAGTCGAGAATGAATTAGTTCATTGACTTGATCCAGCAGAAAAATTTGTGAAGTTTCTCTTTTTTAGTGGAGGATTAGTTTTCCGTCATGTCAGTTCACTGAACCAACTCATCCTGTACCCACACAGTTGCCAGTTGTGACACAAAACATGTTGCAGGAGCACGCAGCCAGGATTTGGATGAAGAGAGCAGGACTACCCCTTTAGGTAGCAGCTGATAGTTACCCCGCTTTGGAGGTAACGTCCAAAACACACATTAGTGTTACATTTGTTGTAATACTTGTCTTGTTGATGGTTTTCGATTTCATTATCCTTTTTTAAATTTCATAAAATCAAGTTTTCATGTGTTTTCAGATACTATGCTTAATTCTTTTCAGTCATTATAGGAAACGTAGCTAGAGGAAAACAATATTAACCTGCAGTTTGGTAACTCTGTGAACAGGGTTCACTACCTTTTTCAAAAAGGTAGAGAGGGGAAACTGCAGACTAATGAACTTTATCCAAATGCCACATAGTGGAACAGGTAGAGTTGCTTTTCTCTTCGGTGAGTTTTCACTTTTGACACTTCAAGCTTCTGACGCTTTTTTCTACTCATCCTTCATATTCTGCTCATGCTGATGCAAGACTGATGATACTGAAACGTGCAGTCCCTCCTGCCTTCTCTTACCGATGCATTCTTGTCCTCAGTGTCTGTCAGTACCGACATGTGTGGGGAGCTGGGTTGATTCATTGATCCCTCTGAAAACAAGGGGGGGTTTTTTGCTTTGGGTTTTTTTGTTGCTTGCATGCTTAGCTTTAAGCTGGATCACTTTGGTCAGACTCTCACAGCATGGCTGCATGACTGCTAGTGTTGATACAGAGACTTGGCAGGACCATGTGTTGAGTAAGGGTGAGACTTCCCTTTCAGTGTTAGGATAGCTTTAAATTAGCTTGAATCATAAGACTGCTCTCTCTGAGAAACTACATCACATAGTAATG